AGTGGACATTGCTTTGGAGGGGCAGTGGCCTTCATGATGTGAGGGCCTTTGTGGACAGACATATTGGTCTACATTTCCAGTGGCAAGATTGGAGTTAATACGTATGTTTCTGTTTACCAGACATTGAAAAGGATTCTGGAGAAATTGGGGATGAGGCGGGAAAGAGCTAGGGAAGATCAGTGCTAACTCCTGGTCCCAGTCCCCTGCAGAGATCTCCAGAGCTCTGTCAGAAAATGAGGTGTGGGTTATTCATTTGGGGTTTGTTTTTTTGGCATTTTTTTGACCCTATGTTCTCTGATGGAGTAGTCTGCTGCTTGAATGCTTGGCAACTTCATTCTCATTTTTAGCCTACTTTCTTACATATATTTCAAGAGTGTGAGGTGATTACAGAGTATAAGAACTTCTTTAGCAGGGATAGATAGGGCTCTAGAGAGATTAGTAGCTGAGATGAAAGCCAGATAGTTAGTTAAAATCAGAAATAAAGCAGAGATTTTAGTGCAGATGTTTAAAATGTAGAAGAGAATAACAAGGAATGGTGGATGCTCACCTCTGTTTGCAGGGAACGTTCACTGCCCTGGGATTTACAGGTGGCCCAGTTGAACGGTCACTTAAGGTCTGTGCCAAAACCTGTGCCAAGTTCAAGAGCTGTGTCTGGGGGTTTGGGCAGCTCTTTGGTGTGTTATGGCCAGAGAGAGAGGGAACTGTGGACAGTTGAGCCCCAGCTCTGTTGGGAATGGCAGTTTGTCCCTCTGCATCTGTGGGGCACCAGGAAAACGTGTGTTTGACATCCAAACTGGTGTCATTGCTTTACTCCAGAAACCAGTCGCTCTGGTCCACTCCTGCAGCACAAAGCCAGGGAAAAAGTACCTGTGCAGCCCACTGCTGCCACCCTGTGCTCTGAGGTGGGCGAGGAGTGTGCCTGCCTACCTCCTGCTAGCTGCAGTGTGTCCCCTCTTCTCGCCACATCTCACCAGTAGATAGAATTAGGGGTCTCTGAAGGACAGAGCAGCTCTTCCCCTCGCCTGCACTTTTCTGCTGTCTCTTGCTTTTTTCTTCCTGTGAGTGAAAGCTGCACTTTCCCCAGGAGTTCACACTTGTGCTCGCTCTCTCTCTCTCTGCAGGGGAAGGTTCAGGATGAAGGAACGAGAAGAAATGTGGCAGAAAATAGAGGAGCTGGCCCGGCTGAACCCCCAGGTGGGTAACAGCAGGACCTAGGATGAATGAGACAAGAATGTGCTGGGGGTCTTGACCTGCTTCCTCTGCTCATGAGAGCAGGCTCTAGCACCTGATCTCAGTCCTGTGCACACAGCTGCAGCGGTGGTCTGTCCCTCCCAAAACCCAGCGTCCTGGGGGTGCTAGAAGTGTTTTACCAGCCTGGCCCTCTGTAGCACTGACCTCTAAGTAATGCCTTATAGAGAGCATGTACGTGTTTATGAACTCCTCTCTCAGCTGCAGCTGTACGTGCAGTGTGCTGTGGCTCAGAGGGCACAGGTAGGAATGGGTAGAAGATGTTCCCTTCCTGTCTGTGTACCTACTGCTACCTTTGCGGGTGCCAGAGAGGGCAGCTGGAAGAAGTGTGCTGTGCTGTGTTAGGATGCTGGGGGGGAAGGCTTGGTGTTGGATGGCGTGCTGACTCTCCAGCTGTCTGTGTTGTCTGCAGTACCCCATGTATTACGCACCTCCACCATTGCCTCCTGTCTGCTGTATGGAAACGGAGACCCCAACTGCGGAGGATATACAGCTACTGAAGAAAACGGTAGAGACGGAGGCTGTGCAGGTGCGTAGGTGACTAGGGTCCTTCCACAATTACTCTCAGACCAGCCAGGACATCAGCATAGTCAGTCCAGGGTCCAGCAGCCGGAACTGGCACTTTCCAAGTGTTCTGAGGGTAAATGCCCCTACTCTTGTCCCTGGTCATTAGAGATCAACCTGTAGTCTGAAGAGTGGAGTTTATCTAACCTTCACACTCTGGAAAAAGTGCAAGTGGGACTTTTCTGTGTCCTTTTGGTCTGTGTTTGGCTCTCAGCCGGTTGTACAGCATGCTGCGGTGTCACCCAGCGTATCCTAGAGTGGTTGGAGTCAGAGAATGGGGAGGCTGGAGGGGTGAAGGCGTTTGCCGCTGATCCCTGACTCTTTTGGTTTGTCTGTAGATGCTGAAAGACATTAAGAAGGAGAAAGTTTTGCTGCGCCGGAAATCTGAGCTTCCTCAGGACGTCTACACTATAAAAGCCCTGGAGGCCCACAAGAGAGCAGAAGAGTTTCTCACCTCAAGCCAGGAGGCTCTCTGACGGGCTCAGGAGCTGGCCCAGGAAGCTCTGCCCCATCCCTTTCCCCCAGGGGTTACGGAAATGCACTCAGTTCTCATGTATAAATAAGGAATGAACATGGTGAGCTGTGCCTGTCCTCCACTCCATCTGCACCCCTCCAGGGTAGATCTGGTTTTACGTTATAACTTGTATCTCACCACTGTCATGTCCTCCTGCTTTTCCTCCTTCCTCCTGCTTTTCCACCTTGGATGTGCGTGCGTGAAGGGAGCCTGCCTGACCTGCGATTGTATCAGCCCAGGCAGGAGTCACTTCATTTCCAGCTGCCGCCTGGTTCTTACTCTGCCTGGGAGCCAGAGCCTTGGCTGCCCTGCAACACAGGCTCTGTGTTGGCCAGAGACTGCCGCGCGTGGCTCAGCTGTAAGCCCCGAGTGCCCATCTCTGCCTTGCCTGCCCCCGTGCTGCCTGCGCAGCCAAGCCCTGCGGCGGTCAGAGGTGAGGCTGAGCTCGGGGCAGGAGCGTGTGGCAGAGTTTGTGGGGGCTCTGCTGCCTCTCCGCCCTGCCTTGGGGTGCAGCTCCGCAGCTGGAGGGTCTCACGTACAGCAGAGGAGATGTTTGCTTCCACCTTTCTTTTGCTTCAAGCCCCTTGTTCTGTTCCCCTGTCAGTGGAGTGGGGGTTCAGTGCTTCGCCACCCCCAGTAAAGCTGGGTGCAAGCACTACATACTATTGCAGCCCTCCCTTTAGAGCATCCTTAGAAGCTCTCTTGTGGGAAAGTGAATTCCTTCAGCTGTTTGTGTTGGTCCGTGCTGACTTGTCTCCATCCCGATGTCTTGGGTTAATCGTGGGCCCAGAATTAACTTCCCGCTTTGTAGCAGGTGTCAGCCACTGACTTCTGCTTTCTTCCTCTACCTGCTCAATTAAAATACTCCTGCAGCTCTCCCTTTGTTGCTGTATCCCATCCTTAGCTCTGCAGTGGCCAGGGTTTCTAGGAAGCTTGTGCTGCTAAAGTTATTTCTGCAAACTAGTGGAAGCAATGGATACACGTTATGGGGCCAAGCTGAGTTTCTGAGTGTTCAGTTGTCTCCTCTTTATGATCAACAGCTAGGTGCTACTGCTGAATTGCTTCCGTGGGTGCTCTGAGCAAAGTTCGCCTCGCCCTGTTACTTTGGCACCTGCTGTGGCCTGAGGCCCTTGTTAGTTATCATACGGTGCATCAGGGACTTGTGCTAATTTAGCATTTAGAGCGCACTTGCTGATAGCCCAGGGGGTTGCGCAGCACTTGAGTGCTACTGTGATCCAGCTTTCTCCCATACCTTTTGTGGTGCAGATTCAGTGCCAGGCCAAGGTGCCACCTTAGAGAGGCTGGCTCGTGATAGAAAAGGGAGTCTTCCTTGCTTCTTACCTGCTGCGCTTGCTTTCTTGATACATAAGCTTAAGTGGGTTTGCAGTAGCGCAGGGAGCTTACGGGGTCGGTGCTAGTCTGACACTGCTTTGCAACATCATGGGATGTTGCAGAAGGTCCTGGTGTATCTGCTTGTCCTCACCAGTAAACCATTCCCAGGTCAGAGGTTCATCCCCTCTAATCTTACTGCTGGTGTGCAGCACATCTTTCCTCCAACCCAAACTAAGCTGTTTTTCCCCTGTGTATCCTGTACCCCCTGCCCTGTTTAGCTCTTTCAGTTCGGCCCTCAATAGGCATGCCACCATCTCTTAGGAGCAGCTGGCAAACGTGAGTATGTGCGAGATCACCCACAGTCACGCAGGACCCCGCCTCCCCTCCACTTCATGCGGTGGGCCAGTTCATCAGAAGACTTACGAAACACCTCAGGGAGGTTATTGCTTATTTTGAACGTTAGTCCAAACTCATGGTCAGCTGCCAATCAATTACCTCACGCCTGCACAGCATGTAGACGTGCACTGGGCGATGCCGGACGATGCACAGGAGCAGCAGGCGTCTCGGGGCACAGCGGAGACGAGGACGGCCGAGCGCCACCCGCAGCAGGGCTCTGGCTGGGGAGGATGTTTCTTCCCGTTGCAGTACAGGCTTTCCAACTTGTCCGCTTGAGTGCTGTGTTATAAGCCGCCACCTCATTTTTAGAGTGCTACGGCATGCGTGTGCCCTCACTCGAGCCTGCGTGCTGCTAGGCGGTGGCTGCCTTTCCCTGCTGCAGGCTGTTCTGCCTGCTGAAGGAAGAGAGACTTCTGGTGCACAGAGGCTGTCGCGGTCCTGCAGATGGTCTGTCTCTGCCGGCAGTCCCCGAGCGTGGCCAGAGGAATGCTGCCGGGGTTGTGCCACGTGCAGGGGCAGGACTGTAACGCATCACGACTGCGTGCTGTACGGCTTCGATGTTCTCATAGCTTTGTGTGTCTTGTTCAGGGTCAGGGAACTTATGCTTAGTACCTTCACATTGCCATTAGTTTGCTGCCTATTCATTCCAGTGTCCTGGACATCTAAGAAGGGGACCATGTGAGAAAGCGGGGAGTGCGTTCACCCCCTCTGCCACACGTACGGCTCATACGCAGACCCGCGTCTGCCACGCTACAGCTGCCCCTTGCTCAACACTTGGTTTCTAGCATTAGTGCTGCTCATTTCTGCCTATGCCTTTCCCCACATCAGCCAAATGGACAGAACTGGAGCTGCCTCTTCCACTTCACCTAGCTCCCTCCTCCCGAGGGAACAAGCAAAATTAACTACTGCATTCACCCCCTGGACACAAGTATTAAGCTGCTTACAGTTCATATGTACATATGGTGTACTTTATTTTCAGTAGAGCATTACATAGTTGAAAGTGTTGGATTTTGTACAGATGTCCCTGTATGTACAGAACTAAATAAAACCGATCTCTTGGAAAGACACGTTGGACTCCACCTCTGATGTTCCAACACACAGCCCCTGTCCTGGGAGGAGGGGCCCTAGTGTGGAGAGGAACTTCTCCAGCACTGACAGCACAGGGACAAATCCAGTGTTCGTCCCAAGGGAATCTGGGCAAAGCCGGCCAAGCCCCCTCCCTCCACACGCACACAGGTATGGAAACCGGTCGGGCTCCTCGGAGGCAGAGGAAGCCAACACAAGGACATCACAGTGACTTACGCACCAGCCAGAACCAGGAAAGAGGAGCAGGAAGGGAAGTCGGACAATGTCGGTGGGAGAAACTGGAAGGTCAGTGCCGGCAAGTCCCGTCACCACCCGGCTCCGAGGCAGCGGGCGCTTGCCTCGCCTGCGCGGCGGAGGGAGGGCTGGGGTTAGCAGCCCCCACGCCGCAGCTTGGCCCTCACTTCCACTCGGGCCTGGGGCCACCGAGGCTCTGACGGGCTTGCAGCGTGCGCTGCACCACGTCCTTCCACTGGTCCTCCGAGATCTGGCTGGCCCAGGCGGGGATGCCCAGGCTGGGAAGCTTCACGCTGGCCATCGTCCTCTTCACCAGCTCCACGTGTTCTGGGGACAGAGAGGGCATGAGACCGCGGCCGAGCGCCGCGCAGGGCGGCCGGGAGGGCCCGGCCGGAGACGCCGTTACCTGCGTCCATGGGGATGGAGCTGCGGCTGCTTT